AAAAAAAAAAAAAAAAAAAAAAAAAAAAAAAAAAAAAAAAAAAAAAAAAAAAAAAAAAAACATGAAAAACAAAAAAAAAAAACACCCCCCCCCCCCCCCCCCCCCCCAAAAAAAATTATTGAATTCGATTTAAAGGCAGTGCTCAGCTAATTTGATAAGTCACTCGATTTCCTTGATAACCCCCTACTCTTTCGCCCGTGCATAATAGAAAAACATAAGCTCTGTGGATAAAACTTCATTTGTATTAGACATTTTAGGACCGAGTGGCGAAATTCACCTACATTCTGTCGAAGATGTACCATAAAATACACAGCAAGAGCAGGCATATACAACTCTTAAGTCGAACTTTTACGTTCCATACATTTATCATTCTTGGCAGAAACACAAATATTACAAATAATAAACAGATCCAACAAATGTAGTTACAGACTTGCTCTAATAATTGCCACTATTTGACAACATTACAGGTTCAAGTCCTGTTTGTGGACATAAAGGTAGCTTACCAAATCATTGAAAAATGAGGTTATTGGAGATAATCCATTGTAATTCTTGTCTAGCTTTGCTAAGCATAAATCACTGACATCCTTGAACATCCATTCTTCATGTGCCAAAGGTTGTGCAGCATATTCCTCAATTGGCATCCACTAGTTAATTTTAAGAGGGCACGTGATAAAATTTGTTAGATCTACCGTGGTTTAATATTTGTCAGTCAAAAAGACAAATCATACAAAGGATTACCTGAGCTCCCGCAATTTCCGAATCTTGATTTTTAACGTCAAAGGTTAGAGGTCGCAGCATGCAAAGAAAGAATAAATCCGACTTCTCGAAAAAGTACTTGTGCATTTGTCTATCAGTTGAAGCAAATAGCAAATCTTATAGTCCAATTTTGTGTTAGGTATAAATAGGTAAAAACAATCTTCAGATGATGAAACTTGAGTTTCATTTCATGCAAAGTTTATACCTGAATGCTAGAACATCCATAAATTCTGTATCAATCTGCGGAAATGAATACCTCTACTCTCTCAAAATATTGAACAACAAATATATTGTGCACGCGGATGAATTTGCACTGCACGTATTAATTTATTAAACATTCATGATTACTTACTCCTGTTTCCTCAAGTACTTCTCTTTTTGCACCTACAGAAATATCCTCGCCCTGTAGATTAAAAGATCAACTTGCTGGTAAAACTTAAAAGAGAAGCAGCTCTTCCACCCGGAACTAAAAGTTTCAGTTTTATGTGCATACCTGGTCAACTATTCCGGTCGGAATTTTCCAAATTCCTCTTTCCCGAAACCTGCCATACTTTTCCCGAACAACAAGCAACTGTAGAAGAGATTGTAAAATTTAGAAAATGAAATAATGAACTCTGGAGAGTCATTTCAGAAAACATTGATGAGCCTATTGGATAATTTGCAATTGACATGCTTAAAAATTTTATTACCTAAAGATCACCATCTTCCTAATTATCAATTAAAGACCAGCATCTTCTTTACTATAGCATCAATGTAAATAAGATAAATTCTAGTTCATTGATTTACACTAGTCAAATGAAAATTGTGTTACTGGAATGGAGCATCTAGAAGACCGAAAGAGAAAGTGTCCCTTTCCTACTATGATGAGCACAGGGAACACATAAAGAGGTCAATTCCGATTAAAGAAAACTTTAGTTATATTAGGTGACGATAAAATTTGAAAGGAGGAAACAATTGACACTTCAAGGGCTCATTCAATGCATTAATTTGAAGCCAAACCAATTCTAAAATATATTAGAAGGTTAATCAGGTCATCTCCACAGAGAAAAAAGAATAATAGAGCCAATCAGTCGTAGTCTGTAGAATGTGCTATACAGAAAGACATGAAAAACTAGTCACGGATGAATAAAACAAACATACAAGTGCCAGCAGTTACAGAAGGTTAAAGTACCTCTCTTTTATCATTCAGGACAATGGCACCAATTCGAACTCGGTGTGTTGCATTTGGAGGGATGGCATTGTTAGTTTCCGGAATCCAGTATACTAGCATCAAGTAATGAGGCTCAGCATGATGATACCAAAATCCTTCCTGCAACCAATATTATTACTGTATCGTTTGATTAACTTCAAGTGTAAAGTCTATAACTTATCCAATTTATCCAACATAATATTATATCGAAGATGATACCGAAATCTTGCATTGATTTTAGACAAGCTGCTGCTAAATGTTGACAGGTGCCAAATCAGCATTCAATCATTCATACCTTCCAATTTGTTGGATTTTACCTTTTAACACATTATGAATGATATCCAAGTCAAATCATCAATACAATAAAGTTTAAATCTTTTACAAATGATACATCTTGGATTCTTTTGGCCTAGAAATAGGCAGTTGCTCTTCAATAGGACTATCAATGTATTGCCAAATAGACGTGCTTTTGTCATAGCATTATATTACTGAGATCTTTAAGGAATTTAGTTATGAATTTATAAAATTTATACAAGTAATTCAAATGTGATAGAATAGAAAAATTACCTTGACCGCAATTTCAACAAGATTTGCAAGTTGAATTGGTAATTTGATCCACACACCCTTCTTGCCCTGATAAATAACTTCATCAAACAATCATGAAAAATGTAGAAAACCAGAAATATTTGGCACGGAATTGAATACATTTTAGTTAATGTCTATTTTATTGACCACCAGAAATCAATGCCATAGTGAAACTTAAACAGTTGACTCTGCAGTACATCACCATTGAGCAATCTTCTAAAGCATGTCGATAGCTTGCAAATACCAATTACAATAACTAATGATGCAAGGAATAAATGGTGTAATCAGTTGCACTCAGAACTGGTAATTTTGTGATAGGCAAAGTAGATGAGTACCAGTGTATGTACAGGTTCAACATTATACTTCAAGTGGAGAAAGTCTTAAATTACGTAAATGAGTGGGATTCTTTTACAAGTTTTGTAGCACAAGTAGTGAGTTGCAGAATAGATTAAAGGAAATTAGATGTTTCTGTCCACAAATTTCCAACACCAATGAAAATGTACATTGTAAAAGGGCAAATAGTAGAAACATTGAGAACAATTCGAAGCCTCAATGTTGCAGCACCACCCTACATTTCTTAAACATGTTATTAATCAAAAAAAAATGTAAGAAAATAGTAAATTAAATAGCTCTATTCTGTATGTTCAGTAATTAGCTAAACAAAACTTGCAAATCGATCTTTCCATTAAGCCTACATATGAACCAGGTATTTGGTTCTATGATGAAATATACAGCTTGCTAGCTCAGTTTATGCATCGAGAACTTTCAACAAAAAATCTGTTCTATAATTTTACACTTGCACAGATATACAAGTTGAAAATTTTGCAGTTCCGACACATGCCAATAGCTAAAAAAGGGAAAAACTTCAACAAGCATTATTGTTTAGCAAGGAATCCTGAAAGGTAGCTTAATGATCAGGTCTTGGATGTCCTCCTCAATGGTCATCAGTTCGAATCTCTTTAGGATTACTAAGGTGAGTACTCGATTAAAAACTTTAGGGTCTCGTGGGATTAGTCGAGATGCGCGGCCCGGACACCCACGGTCATCAAAAATAAAAAAAATTATTGTTTAGCAAGTAATTCTGATTATAATTCTATGCAGGTCATCCCATAGAATGCAACTCGAATGTGTTAGAAAAAAGGCAAAAGGTTGTGGAAGACCTAATAGAGCTCTAAATGGCGTGGTATGTTGCATGCACGTGTGGAGAAGTTGACTCCTACGCAGCAAAAATGCATTATAGCATGGACAAGAATGTCAACAATTGTATGCACCAAATATTAATGGGGGAGTTGGTTAAAGGGCCTAGTCAAACAATGTATTTGGTTAATTATCCCTTTCTCAATGTTTCTTAGTCAAATGGCCTCCAATTATGAAATACAATAAACAAATAATGTCAAATGTCATAAATATTCCCACCATGGAAAAAGACTCTAACACCCATATCAATCTAATTAATTCCCAAATTCAAGTTTAAATTTTCAAATCACAATTATGTGTTTTTCATCTTCAACTACCATATTTGTTACTGTAAAATTCTCTTATCTATTATAATCTTCACCTATTTTGAGTATCTTTTGAGCATTTGAACAAGAGTTTGTTAAGCATACTATCTACATTGAAAAATTTCATTACATTTGAAGAAAGAAGAAAGACACTTTTAGAAATTTCTTGCACATTTTTATTGAATAATATTTTAGTTGGTGTTATTTTTTGTATTGCTACAGCTATAGGTTGATAATGGTGCTCCAACTGTTATCTGATAGATAGAACGGCACTCCAGCTGTTTTCTACTACGGAAAATGACACTACAGTCGTTATTTATTGTAGTTTGGTTTTTCAATGAAAAGATCTCTAATAATGGACTATCTAATGTATTTAACGTATAAATGTTGATCATATCACAAAGAACGGTTGAAAACGATATGTCTAATATGTTATCGAGTTGGTGAAAGTACAAGTACAATATATACATAATAATAAATAGACAATTAAAGTAAAAAATAGGCAATATATCTCGTAAATTTTGTAATAGGCATGTCTATCTTGCAACTGAAAAAAGTTTAACTTATCAATTATCGAGGGCACGGACAAGCTGTGGTTGCTTATACTCGTGTATATAGACAGAACGACACAAGTGTCATTTCATTATCAGTAATGACACTTGTGCTGTTCTGTTGAATTCTTCAATATTTTGCTTATTTTCTAACGCAACAACCTGAAACATTAGATCCTATAACTTAAGAAAGTCAAAAATGTTGATCACGTGACAAAAAATGTTGAATTGGCATAGATTATAAGATATCAAGTTGGTGAAATTACTAGTCATTGTAATGATTCGTTAGAAAATATAATTAATTAGCACATCTCTCAACTTTTGTAAACGGCATGTCTATCTTACAACTGAAATGAGTTCAACTTATTGGTTCTTAGGGCATGAATGTGTCATGACTGCATATACTAGTGTTTATAGACAGAACAATACAAGTGTCGTTTAACAACCCTTGTGCCGTTTTGTTGATTTCTCTAATAATTTGCTTATTTTCCAACTTAATGACCTCAAATACTAGATCTCCTAACTTAAGAAAGATAGAAAGGTTGACCACGTTACAAGAATGGTTGATTTGACATAGATTATACGATATCGAGGTGGTAAAATCATAAGTCATTGTATTAAATCGTTAGAAAATATAATTAATAAGCACATTTCACAACTTTTGTAAACGGAACGCCCATCTTTCAACTTAAATTTGTTCAATTTATTGGTTCTCGAGGAATGGATGGGTCATGGCTGCGTATATTTGTGTTTATAGACAGAACGACACAAGTGTCGTTTAACATCTCTCATGTCGTTCTGTTGATTTCCCAAATATTTTGCTTATTTTCCAACGCAACGACCTCAAACCTCGGATCCTCTAACTTAAAAAAGTCAGAAATGTTGATCATGTGACAAAAGAACGGTTGAATTGACATAGATTATACGATATCGAGTTAGTGAAATCATAAATCATTGTATTGATTCGTTAGAAAATATAATTAATTAGCAAATCTCAGAGCTTTTCTAAACGGAATGCCCATCTTTTAACTTAAATGAGTTCAATTTATGGGTTCTCGAGGCATGGATAGGTCGTGGCAGTGTATACTTGTGTTTATAAATAGAACGACAGAAGTGTCGTTCAACGGCTCTTGTGTCGTTTTGTTAATTTCTCAAATATTTTGCTTATTTTCTAACGTAACGACCTCAAATTTTAGATCCCCTAACTTAAGAAAGTCAGATAGATTCATCACATGACAAAAAACGATTGAATTGACGGAGGTTATACGATATTGAGTTGGTGAAATCATAAGTCATTGTATTGAATCGTTAGAAAATATAATTCATGAGCACATCTCTCAATTTTTGTAAACGACATGCCCATCTTTCAACTAAAATTAGTTCAACTTATTGGTTCTTGGGGCATGAATGGGTCGTGGCTACGTACACTCATGTTTATAGACAGAACGACACAAATGACATTTAACTGCACTTTTGCCGTTCTGATGATTTCTCCGATATTTTACATTTTTTCCACCGCAACGACCTCAAGCATTGTACCCCCCAACTTAAAAAAGTCAGAAATGTTGATCATCTAACAAAAAACAGTAGAATTCACATAGGTTATACGATATAGAATGGGGAAATTACAAGTCGTTATCTACATTGGTTAGAAAATATAATTAATGAGCACATTTCTCAAACTTTGTACACGACGTTTCCATCTTGCAATTTAAATGAGTTCAAATCATCGATTATCGGGATTGGACGGGTCGTGGTGGCTCATACTAGTGTTTAAAGACAGAACGACACAAGAAACTTTTAACGGCACTTATACCGATCCTATTATTTTTTCGATATTTTGCATCTTTTCTACTACAACGACATCAAGCTTAGGACCCTCTAACTTAAGAAAGCCAGAAATATTGACCATGTGACAAATAACGATAGAATTCACATAAATTATACGATATAGAGTTAGAAAAATCACAAGTCGTTATCTACATTTATTAAAAAATATAGTTAATGAGCACATTTCTCAAACTTTGTACACGACGTGTCCATCTTGCAACTGAAATGAGCTCAAATCATCGATTATCGAGGATAGGACGGATCATGACGGCTCATATTAGTGTTTAAAGACAGAACGACACAAGTGACGTTTAATGGCACTTGTGCCGTTTCGATGATTTTTCCGATATTTTGCATCTTTTCCACTACAAGTCATTGTATTGATTCGTTAGAAAATATAATCAATGAGCACATCTCTCAATTTTTTGTAAATGGAATGTTCATATTGCAATTACGGTCCGTTTGTTCCCCAAAATAATAAGTGAAACTTATTTATATTATAATAAGTACATGACACGTACAAAAGTTGATAAATATGTTCATTAATTTAATCGATACATATGAGTGTGATGATTTGTGCTTTTACCATCTCAATAATATAATATATGTCATTTCAATCATTTTTACTAGTCAATCTTTTTATATTATATACATTATTAGATGTCATTTTATTTAAAAAAATCAAATTACAGCAAATAACGACTGTAGTGTCGTTTTACTTTACAAATAATGGCTGGACTGGTGTTCTGTATTTCGTATAGTAGTTGAAGTACTATTACATTCAATGGTTGTATATAACACAAAAAACACACTAAGCCCTTGTTTGAGCCCCATTTTGATGGGAAAAATGATTTTTTAAATAGTGTATTGATATGAAATGTGTGGTTAAAAAATAAGGAAAACTTTTAGATTTGTGTGTAATATTATTTTATTAAAGAATGTGTAGTTAAAATTATGTCAAAACACTATTGAAGAATTCATTTTCTCCAAAAAATGAGGATTAAACAAAGGCTAAATATCAAAACAATACCAACTAAATATTGTTTAATAATAAAAATACAACATAGATGGGATTTCTAAGAGCATCCTTTTTCACTCAAAAGATACCTAAAATAAGTGAAGAAATATAACAAAGAACATAATTTTAGGGTGGCAACAATGGTGA